TAAGGCAGCCCGATGCTGCATTGTCAGTCGAAGATGATTTACTACAATTTGAAGATGGTGAAGTAACTCAAGAATCTAAAAAAACGCCTTTGAGACCTGGAGAATTACCATTTGGAGTTCATAGCAGTGAGTCAGATGAAGATAGAACTCCAATAATTACTGGAAAACCTATTGTCGGTAATTTTAAAGGTGAAGAACAAACATTATCAATCGGACAACCAATAAATAATAAAGAACAAACAGAATTAAAACCTGGAAATTTTGTTGTGCCAAATGAAAATCGTCCAGATTTACAGTATAACATTCAACATTCTCACGAACAAATTGCGAATAATACCATGAAACAAAATAAACATGTAAATAATCATCCTCCAAGAGATGATATTCAACAAGCAATGAATATGGATGAAAAATTACCACCTTTGCCAACAATTAAACATGATAATAATGATTTGAATAGCCAAGGCAGTACACCACAACCATCTATAGTGAAACCAAATCGTGATAATGAAGTTTTAGGCTTATCCCCTCCTCCAGTTATTACCCATTCATTAAAATATGATAATGTTACTCAAAGGCCTCAAGTATCTAGGATACCTTATCGTCCTAAACCAAAACCTTCAACCTCTCCTCCATACCAATTTGAAAGACCACTAAACAGAAGGCCATCAATTCCACATAATAGTCAAGAAGAAATGATTTTAAAACCATTATCTACAACTGCAAAAATTGAACCTGTTAAAAAATGGGAGGTTTCATTAAATCCGAGACCGGAATACAGACCAACCTATAAAGAAGAAAAACCTGAAATAATAAAAGCAGAAAGTAAAGTTTTTAACCAAGGTTCGAGTATAAAATCACAATTACAAGAAAAAACTAAAGAAAATACGGTAATTTTTAGTGATCCTATAACACATGTAATACCTACAATTGTTACTCAAGATACAACTAAATGGAATGAATATAGCCCTATTTCAAGTACAGAGAGTAAAATAGAAACAGTTCAATCCACTACAGAAACCCCAGCATTGACTTCAATTACTACTGGAACTATAAAATCACACACAACACCGATTAAACCAACTAGTAAGACCACTGATTATCATAGTGTTATAAGTGTTATTATCAAAAACGAAGAAAAGCCAGAAGATAAATCGAATGAAAATATAATTGAAAATCCTACAACTCCCAAGCAAAAATCACAGATGAGACCACAAGTTACAATCTTACAACTTCCAGAAAGACCATCATTCATGGATGACTTCCACAAGCAATTACAAGGCTCATCACTTCCAACGAGATTTGTCACACATACGCAAACATTATCAGTAACTATAACAGAAACAACAGTTTTACAAAGTGACGGTTTCGAACCATCTACTCATACACTTATTCTCACCAAAACCCAAACATCTACATTAGTAGACACAGTAACCGAATTTCATACATTAGTGAAACCCACGCAAGTCTTGTCTACAATTACAACTACCGTTCCAGCTCCAATACGTTCTAACCCTGTTATTCAAGTGCCGGTAGTGGAAGGCACAAAAACCAAAACAATAAATATACCCCCAGATGAAAATGAAACATTATTAGTAGTTATGACAGATAAAAAAGGCGGAAACAATGGAATACCACCAGAAATACAAGTTCCTGATGAAACAAATGAAATAGGACCAAGTGACGTATTACTAAGTGGCATTCTAACTCATTCATCAGACACTGAATGTCGACCTGAATGCAAAGCGTCTAAAAATGAAATCTGCCAAAGAGTGGAAAATACAATGCGATGCGTCTGTAGACCAGGTTTTGCAAGAATGTTTTTGGACAGACCTTGTAAACGTGAGTAATTTGTTATAAGATAAAATATCTAGATATTATAGTATTTTCTACATTTTTTAAATTTTCCCCGTGATATTTGGTTTAGCTACTTATACATATACAATGAAGTTAGTATTGGACAGATTCCGTAAAGATCCCATTAAATATTCTTCACAATTAGACGATCCTAGTTCTAATCAATATCAAAAACTGACAGAAGCCACTAAAGAAGGATTAAACCGTATGTCAATGCAGTCAGATCTAAGAGATATTTATCATGGTGTAATAGTTGGAGGTTTTGAACCAGATGGAAAAAGTGATAAAGCAGTGGTTTCGTATATAATACAAGTAATATTTTATTTATAATAATAATATTTTTTATTTATTAATTATTTTTTAAACTTTTAAGCTATCTGAAAATGCAGAAGATATTAAATTATGGGAAGCAACAAAAAAATCACTTAGAGCCACAAACTATAGTTTAGGAGGAACTGACATATTTGTTGCACGAGACCAATTACAACAATTATCGGCGGAGGGTAAAAATTATAAATAA